TGCCCTCCCAAGTTGGCTCACCCTTTGGTGAGCCACTGGAGGGTAAATTTTTTAGCAGGATGTGGCCATTCCAAGTTGACAATTCTAAGAGGAGTTAAGCCGGAAGAACACCTAAAGCACTCCTAAGGACAAGAAACTGAGCCCAAAGAAACCCGAAGCCAGTGAAACCCAAAGACAGCCGCAAAGAAGTCCGTATAGTGAGTGGGATACCTTTTCTGTTCCCTCCCTTTCTGTCCCTTTCTGCTGCTCCTAGTGCTTGGAAAGCACTCCCAGCAGAAACCAAAGCAAAAAGTTTCCCTCCCTTTCTCTCCATCACGCTGGCTTTGGCGCTTCGTCCCCTGCCCTTGCACTCCCAGCAGAAGCCAAAGCAAAAAACAAAAGCAAAAACAGTAGGGGAAAAAATGTGCCAAAAAAACCAATTGAAAAAAACATCCGGAAAAAATCTCCATCCATATTCAAACGTGCTCTTGAAGATCTGTGGGTGACCTCTTGGTGGTCCACCTCTTAGGGTTGAGGTGAAACTGTTTTTTGGAAGCATGAGGTTTGACTGATTGCGTTTTGCTGAAGGTTTTTGCAAGCTACGAGCTCACCCTTGCTCTATTCGCGCATGGCTGTTATGGCCGGCTCTGCTTTGATCACACTTTCGATGTTGCTTGCTCATCTCTTTTAATCACATCCCATGATGTCGTGCAGGATGACGAGCAATGTGGAAAAAGAACTGGACTTTCTATGGTGGCAAACTTTGAAGGTTATTGGGAAAGGATCTCATCGCGCGAGTGTTTTAGTTTTTTTGAATCATACACACACATTCCGTATCTTGCAAGTAATTAAGTTAGAAGCGGGTATTTGTGCTGCAGGATAGTGGATCCAATCACCAAGATAGAACTGGGGAAGACCAGGGAAGTTTCCTGGCTGAGCCTGAAGCTTTAGAGTATTAAGAGAGCAGTGCACCGCTTCTGATTGCATTCCTTCATTGTTTCATTTGGATTTCTGCTTAGTTGCGTGCGCTTTGAGAGCCCTAGGATCGGACGCAGGGATTTCACTATTTGCTGTGCTTTTGTCCGGCAATCTGACTGCATAAGCACTTGCACAGTTCGCATCGTGGCCACGTTCAACCCCCTTGTAGTCTTGTAGAGATTATATACCCGGCTTTAATTTAACAGCATCATTACCTCATTTCAATAGCATGGCCTGAAAAGAGCACCAAAACATTTCTGAGTTAGGTAAGAGCAGTCTCGTCGCTAGACAGAATCTCTCTATAGAAGCCTAGCAAATACATGTGTCCAGCTAGGCTCAAAAGCCTCCTTTGGCTGGAGCCAAAATAACTGTCTATGCCTCCAGATACCGCTAAAGAACCAGCAGGAGAGGATGCATGTATGTATGTAGTGGTAGTGTAGTGTAGTGTAATGTAACGTAACTTAACGTAATGTAATGACATGGAACGGAATCAAATGGAATGGAATGGTATGTATGTACGTTGGTACAATACAAATACATATATATATATACATATATATATATGTATATATATAATATATATATATACATATGTATGCATAAACGTTTCTTGGAAAGTTGCAGTGACGAGACTAAGAACAATGTCCCTGACCCTGTACTGGTCGATCGTGCCGTCCTCGGCCAATGGGCGGCAGTCAGTTGGACCCAGGCCTTTGATGCATCAGAGGGAATCTTCCCGGTAATTGATGGCGTTTGTGGCCAGTTCGATGACTTTGTCCAGCAGGCAATTTGGTTTCTTATTGACGGCTTTCATCAAGCAGATAGGATTGATAAGATACGTTGCTGTCATTTCAGTTCAGTTTGCCTTCACCATTTAATTTCTTCCTCCGTACCGTTTACAAACAGAATCCTGCAGCTACCCAAGACATGAAATCCCCTTCCCCCTGTTGCTATCTACAACACATCAGGTATCCCTGAATCACATATCCAGGATGGTTCAGGGTTCATTTGTTGACTAGTTTTGCTGCAGGCTGACTGTTTGGCATTTCACATCTTTTTCAAGATGCCAGGTGGGTGTGCTGGATGGTTTGATGACTACATTTCTGGATGTGGATAGCGTGGTTGTCGAGCAGATATTGCCTATGACGCGGTTCACAATCCGCATCATGGTTGCAGGTATGTGCGGGAGTGCCTTACACTTAGCACGTGCTTGCACTTGATATCGATAGATGCTGACAAAACGGCTGGATGACGCTAACACACACAGACATGATGTGACTGCTGTTTGGTCTTAATGATTGCAACAGGCCTTCTTCTACTCCTCTAGCTGAGGAGTTGACTGTGGAGGAGGCTTTGACAGTTGTGATGCCAATGACTTTTCCAGCATCAAGGCAACTTGGATGGTGTTCTATCCATCAGAGACTGGGTGCTGAAGCAAGATGGATTTGTTTCATCAAAACACCTGTTATGCATGTTGTGCATACTCCGACGACAAAGCGATATAGCTGGTTGAGGGATGTCAAGTCGGAGGGTCGTGTGTATGCAGTGCCAATTGCATAGACTGAAAATATAGATGCCTGTGCAACGAGTATATATATATATACACATGTATATGGGGTATATAGTTTCGAACACCGTTGTAACTTCAGTGCTTGTCGCGATACAATGTGGTTGACCTTCGACCGTCTTTGCCACTTCATGCACCAATAGAACTGACGATCGACCGTACTCGATGCGGAGTCAACATGAAGACAGTTTCTCCGGCGACGGGTTTTGCTTGCTCGGTTGGGCGTGGCCAAGGTGATTCCGCGCTCTTGGTCTTCATTGGATTCGTCCATTGGCTTGATGCACTGGAACACGAGCAATTCTTGTCCAGAGGCAGAGATTATCCTGTACGAACTGTTGGTTTGGTTTCCAGTAGACGTGGAGATTACAGGCAACTCCAAGACAAAGTGACAATAATTGACAATACGTGCTTGAAAAAGATCAACATTCTAAGATCGAAGTGCTGGTCAGGCTGTTGAAACATCTCAGTGGTACTCTCCGGTGAACTGCCAGGACCACCGGGTACTGCGTGCGAGAGCCAGCTGCAACTAAATCACTGAAATGCTTTCATTATGATGAAGCAAGAAGCACAAAACCCCAAACCATTGTTTGTTTAATATCTTCGCCGTGAACATTCAACTATGTAGAGAGAGAGAGAGAACAATGAAACATCCACAGCCCGTAGAAACCGTTTAGCTTCAGGTGCTGCATATCAACCTTTGAGAGAAGACGCGCGATAGAAGGAAAGAACAGTCTAAGGTGGAGAGAAAAAGAGAGACAGAAAGAAGGCGAGAAGGACAGAGATATCAGAGATATCTTCATATCGGGAGAAAGCAGCAAAAGAAGTGCAAAAGAAGCTAAAGACAAAAATAGAGAGGGTCTAGAGTCTGCAGCAAGAAGCGAAGTGTATGTTCGTCGAATGTGGCAGGAAGATGGACTGCGGATGAGCGAGAATTGCAAGGTTCACTGTTGTTTCACTTTTGGAGGAATCATTTTTGAACCGGTTTGGAACTCATTTGAGTCAAACGCAAGTTCTTCTCAACTGTGTCTACAAAGGGCTGCCATGCTTTGAGTCTTACGCATTCTGTAGTTATGGACACTCATGGGGACTACCATTCGGACAGTGCGCTTGTGTTGCAAGCATGCTCTTGATTGTACAAGCTTTCGTGTGCCCAACATGAATCACCTGCACCGCTGTGGCAGGCCAATGGAGGAACAAATGCCACCGAAAAGCGGCGCTGCCAAGTCTTGTTGAAGCCTTTTATTGCATAGGTCTCCATCCTCACAGTTTTGTCGAAGTCCATGGGACATCAATCACACAACGTTTGCGTTCTACCTTTGAGTCAAAGGGAATGAACTGAAACAGCTTTGCATGGCCCCTTTACCTCTGATGAGTAGCCTTTGCCAGGATTTTTGGCTTCAACGAGATCAAGTTTTTGCCAAAGGTTGATGCAGACAACGCAGCTTGGTGGGCACCGAGCAGGATGCCATGCCAGGAAGGGAACGGGATATAGACACTACAGAAAAAAAATGTACAGCAATGCAATACAGTCCAATATACTTTCTTCAGCAGAGTTGTCTCGACTTGGGATGAAATTGGGCAGCTTTGCTACAGTGTTGAATTGCGCTCCTAGGGCCTAGGGGGGCACAGTCCACTCTTGTGTTTTCTCTTTAGCATCACTCAGACGTGGACGTTGACCGCTCAAGATGGAGGTCAATATGAAACCAACTCTGTGTACGTCATGCTTTCTCGCCACCAAACACCAGGTGCTTTTCACTCTGCTCTTTTTGGCCGGTTCATTGTGAGTGTGTCCACACAGGTCACACGGTCACATGTGTTTTTGCCCCTTTCCTGCTTCCTTGAGGCCGGAGTAGCTCAGTTCTTTGACATATGCTTTGTTCACAAGGCGTGAAAGCTTCACACCCTCAAAACACGTCTTCTTGGGAGCACGCCATGGAGTTCAGTTGAAGCATGAGCAGAAGAATTCTTGGCAGGATCCGGCAGTAGATGGACTCAATATTCGATCCTTCGAACCTTTTGGTGATGCTGCCATGCAAGAGACCACTCGAACCTTCTTCAAAGCACTGAGCTCAGTTGTTTCCAGAATTTGAAAGTCAATGGAACACTGGATGAAGAAGCATCTCAACTGCTTGAAGCAGCAATGCACTTCGACTAAACAGTGACTCATCATCAACTAGAAGAGGGTGGAGCGGATTTATAGTTAAGTTAAGTTTCCCTAAAAATCCAGAAACCAAATGATTAGTGCGAGGGCTTCTAGCTCCCCCGCGCCCTCAGGCGGGGGGAGCTTCCTTGAAGAAGCGTGAGCTATCCTCCTAGGTAGTAGCTTAACTCAGCTACTAGCTACCTCTTCTACTAGCTACCTCTCCTCGGCCTACACCCCCCCCCGCGGGTTAAGAATTATCCCGGCAACAAACCCCAAACAGTGTGTGTGTGTGGTCTAGAGGTGTAGTAGCAGAAAGTCCAGAGATCTAGAAGCATTGGGGTCCAGAGAGGTGATGATGGTGATGAAGGTGGAGGTCGTGGTGATGGTGGCGGTGGTGGTGAGTGAGTGAGAGTGTGAGTGTGAGTGAGAGTGTGAGTGAGAGTGAGTGTGGGTGAGAGTGAGAGTGAGAGTGAGAGGCCATTGCTTGTAGGTTGGGGCCCATCGCTACTAAGAGTGAGAGTGTGAGTGTGAGTGTGCCAAAAAAAGTGCTGTACCTGCCACGAAACCTGCACTTCGAGGTTCAGAAAACGCTGTGCCTGCCACGAAATCTGCACTTCCAGGTTCATAAAATGCTGTGCCTGCTACGAAATTTGTATTTCCAAGTTCACAAAGTGGTGTCTGCACTTCGAGGCTTGCAAAGTGCTGTGCCTGCGACGAAATCTACACTTCGAGGTTCAGAAAGTGGTGTGCTTGCCACGAAATCTGCACTTCGAGGTTCACAAAGTGCTGCGCCTGTCACGAAATCTGCATGTCCAAACGTCACGATTCACTGCAACCAACCTGCCACGAAAACTGCACTTCGAAGCATTAACCGCTCCGATCTCTTGCGCCTGTCACGAAAAGTCGACTTTGGACCACCAAAGCACGAGGTTTCCCTTGCGCCTGCCACGAAAAGTGGCCACCATGTCCGAAAATGCGCGAGCGCAACGAGAGCGCAGTCCCGAGAAGCACCCACCGCTGCCACCCAGATTTCGCGAGCCTGCGCAGTCGAAGTGCACTAAGAGGATTTTGAGAGGCATGAATGTACTGTAAGCAGCAACGAAGTAGCCGGACCGACCGTGCAGCCCACTCTATCCAGCCCCGGTGCTTAACACCTGCCGTAAGAACCCCTAGTGTGTCCACACTGTTTCGGGAAAAAGTGAAGATATTCTGTGAAGATATTCGGGTCCGCAAGGCTCACCGCTTTCTGAAAGCTAGTTTTCAGTAGCCCTGTTTCACAGCTGTTTGACCAGGTTGGCCAGCTCGTAGTGGAGCCACTTTGGCTTTATGGCACTGATGGCTGGGCCCTGCGCTGAGATGCCAAAACGTGCGAAGGGACAAAGTGGACGTTGTGCATCATGCAATTAATGTACGCGTCATCAGCTGGTCCGATTTCTCGCAACCTCTGCCCCGAGCCAAAGCTATGCAGATAATCATACAAACATGATGCATGTACAGCTTTGATTCGCTCCAACACTGATCAGTCCAGCTTTGAGGTGATGACACGCCCAAATATCATCCGCCTTGGGCCTCCTGACCTGACAAAGTCGAGCAATCTTCATGGCAGTGTTCTGGATGGCTACCTGGCCAACGGGACTGTGAAACCTCCAGTCGTAGCAAGTGTCTGATGTAAACCCTGTTTGCAAGGACCAAGTGCAAAGGGAGTTGAAGAAGGCTGTAGGGTGGATAGCTCCTGTGAGGAATGTGGATCAGATCCTCTCATTTGTTCAATTTTTATGGGCGGTGCGCACTGTCAATCATGCTTCGAAGCTCGCTTGAATGCACAAGTCATTGCATTCGCAGGACAAATCCAATGGGGCCTATGATCAAGGTGCAGTTTTGCTGTGTCTCACAGCATTTAACTCCTTATATGCTGTGCTGTGATTTGCTCGATGCAACGGTCAAGACAATTTCTTTTGCAACGAAAGTCATCGCCAAGACGGATGTTCCTCTTTTGTTGGTTGGGCTGAAAACCACACAAAAACACATTGACGCGGAAAGCCACGTTTTGTGGTCGGGGTCCACTGCTTGAGCAGGTGATTTTGGAGGATCAAACCACTGGATCCTTGGATGCGTATGGCTGCTTTGGATTCATCCCCAATGAGGCCTCTATTGCCCCTGTCTCAGTGCTTGTTTCAGTTTTTGTCGCTTCAGTTGGGGAATGTCTGTGCGCTCGATCCGCTTAGGCTGGGGTGTACTGCGCAAATCGGTCCTTCTGCACACCCAGGGCCACCAAGACGGGTGAGGACAGATCGCTAGTAGGGTTAGAATAGTTGGATCTGGTACCAATGCAGTTGATGAGAGTGCCACTCTCTTGGGCTTGATTCAAGCTGGTTCGAGAATGGCCTGCTTTCATTCAAACAGATGGGTTTGGGTTGACACAAGCCATCTAGCCATCATACCCTGCATGACATATGACTGCTGATAATGCCAGAGGATCACACCGTGTGGAGGTTTTTGGGTGTTCGTTGCCATGTGAGACACCCTTTGCATGAGGAGCTGATACTGGATGGTGGAAATCCAGATCACAGAATCACTGTGCTCAAGGCTTCAATGCTGTCCAGAACGTGAAGAGAAGCATGAAGCAAACAGAGAATTGTGAGGTCTTGCAAAGTTGCAACATGAAGTTGGGCCTATTTGATGTCCTTTGGTGTATGTGTACATATGTATGGACACAAGACTTCGCTGCTTTCGATTGTAAGAGGTCAGTTTGATGTATACAGTCCATTGATTTTCAGTGAATCCAGCAAGATACACATTGAGCAACTTGGTTGACTTGACAACGTGGGAGGCTGGCGTGACATCTGTGTGCTACTGTGAGGTGCGAAGTTTTGAAGTTTTCCCGCTGTTTGAGGTTGAGAGTTAAGCTGATTGTGCGACACATTCTACGACTAAGAGATATACACGCCGCAGAACAAGAACAGAAAAGAGGCCAAAGTTTAAAGGTCTAAGAAATCAGACACACACCACACGTGCGGGGTGACCCCAAACGTCAACTGCGCTATTCTGCAGTCATGGCCTGCCGATGGACGGGAACGCTGCAACAGGCCTGCGTTTGATCTCCAAAGCAGCCGGAGTAGCTCATTCCATTTGTCTAGACCGATCTCTGGCCAGGGTGGAAGATTGGATTTTGGTTGGGAAATTCCTGGTGTCGGGTGCCCGTGGAAATCAGGACTGGCCGACGATTCGCAAGTTGTGTTATAGGTCTACTTCTGTCTGAGCCTTTGGCAATCTCACAGTATCTCTAGGCTTTGAACCTGCTATGTGCAAGTGACCCCAGGAGTGGACCTTGGATACGGGCATGGTACAGAGTCTGGAAGTTGAAGGCTGGAGATTCTTTCTGCACCACAACTCGGAGGACACGCGTCAAGTAAGTTGTGCCCTTCTTCTACTTAAGTTTTTCAACAAATCTAAGAGGCCGTGAGCTATCCTGCGTCCATGCTAGTACCTCTACTAGCGGCCTACCCCTTTTTAAACAACGAACAACATTTTCTCTTGTTGTTATCATGCCTCATGGCTCGTCCTTGTTTGTTTCCCCCTTGAGCAGAGAACGGGTGGTGGCGCAGGTTGGGGCCTACGGGAGACCAACACCATCCGCATCCTTGAAAGGGGCAAGACGTGCCGTGAGGTGGGGCGAAGCCTTCTGTGTAGCCCTTGAGCAATTTTTCCAAAACTGTTCAAGGTTTTCATTGGAACTGTTTTAGAGGCACAGTGAGTCAGTGAGTTGAGTTCAGCGTGTGGGACACGGGAATCTGTTTGGAAACAGATGGTGTGAGGAGTCACACATTTGTTTGTTCGCACCGTAGTTGAATTTGTCCCGATCGTGCCCTGTACTGTGTCAGGAAGGCTACTCACAGGTGGCTACGCATGTGAAATGGTGCTCAGCAAAGAACAAAGGCCCGGGTAGCTAAAAAGTCACAGAGATTCCATTGATGCCTATGGATGTTCAATGTCCACTCCTGAAGCCGCCGTTGGTGGTTGTGGTTTTGACGATTCTCCCTCTTGACAAGGTCAGTCATGTGTTATGATTCGGATCTTGCTTTCGGCATCCTGGTCGAGATGTCTTGTTTGCAATAGTGTCCCAGTCAGGTTATGGTCACATCGTCGCAATCCAACAACAATGGTGTCTCTAGCTTCTGATGTGTGCAGAACGGGTTCCTTATGGTGATTCTGCCATGCGTCTGACTACATTCTTGCTCTTTAGTTGTAAGGGGTGGGGCCCGGTAGGGGGTAGTCACGGGTTCACGGATAGCCACGGGTAGTCACAGATAGTCAAGTAGTCAAGTTCAAAGACCTAAACCCTTCGGCGTTTTTGCAACTGTTCCTTAATCCTCATGGTGTTCCTTGGGTCTCCCCTCCCGGCCCTGTAGCATTGCTGTCCATTTTGGGCATCCGACGAGCTAAGAAGGGTGCATCCCTTGCCTCATACACCAGCGGCATAAGAATGAGTTCTGTTGTTTGACTCAAGGATTTCTGCGTATCGATGTTGTTTGCCCTTTTAGGTTTCATGTCTGTACCAATGCGGAATTGAAGCAAAGATAGTTTGTGAAACGAGTGACCCAAGTAGAGTGCAAGTTCGCTCAGCGCGAAGGCATTTGTGTAATGCATGGTCCAGGAACAAATGACCCTCGGCTGCAAGTATGGGTGGATGTATTGGTTGGGTTTGGATGATCAGAAGCGTACTTGCAGGGTACTTGCATCATGGCAGGAGACTTCGATATTTGATTTGCCTGGAATATTGTGGCGCCATAACTCAACAGATCCACCGGCATACATCTACCAGATCGAAGCGGCTTCCGATGGACGAGGACAGCTACGACGTGTTTTTGGGGCGACAAACATTTATATACATTCCCGCGGTAAGGAAGGATTTGGAGGTAAGGCCCACTGTACAAGCTATAATCACCACTTGCACAAGGATGAAGGATGGTGAGTGTAGATCCAGACAGATTTGGGTGATTTGTCATTCTTCTTTCCGGAGAGCTGCCTGTCAACTGCCCTGTCCAAATCACCTCAATGTACTGCACGTGACATTTTGGCTTGATGCCCTTCCTGCAGGAACTTTCCTTCACTTCCCGGTGGTACCTGTCATTAGGCAAGTTCTCCCGCACCGGTCCACGGTAGTTGCAAAGCAGAACAGCAACTAGCAAGGGTAAACCTATGTTTCGAGGTTCTTATGGCCTGTTCTGCAATTGATTCGGATGTTAATGCGTGAGATCGTTGAGGAAGATTGCTTGTGGAGTCTCAAAATGCATTGACAGGCAATTCGACACCATTGTCATCGAAGAGAATATAGTACCTCAGGCATTGGTAGCTTGCATGACAAAGTCCTGGCTTGTTTCTAAAGACACTTGCTACACCCTGGGAGGCTGACCATTGGGTACGCCAGAGAGACTTGCAGCGCATTCTTCGTGGCCAGGAGCCAGTCGTTGATGTGCGTCTCCTTCGGCCGGGGGATGCCCGGAGCCCCTAGTAGTGTTCTTGCGCCTAGTAGCGATGCCAGGAGCCCTTAGTAGTGTCCTTGCTCCTAGTAGCGATGCCCGGAGCCGCTAGTAGTGTTCTTGCGCCTAGTAGCGATGCCCGGAGCCCCTAGTAGTGTCCTTGCTCCTAGTAGCGATGCCCGGAGCCCCTAGTAGCGTCCTTGCTCTTGCTCCTAGTAGCGATGCACGGAGCCTGTGTCCTTGCTCCTAGTAGCGATGCCTTGAGCCCTTGTAGCGTCCTTGCTCCTAGTAGCGATGCCAGGAGCCCTTAGCAGCGTCCTTGCTCCTAGTAGCGATGCCAGGAGCCCCTAGTAGCGTCCTTGCTCCTAGTAGCGATGCCAGGAGCCCCTAGTAGCGTCCTTGCTCCTAGTAGCGATGCCAGGAGCCCCTAGTAGCGTCCTTGCTCCTAGTAGCGATGCCAGGAGCCCTTAGTAGCGTCCTTGCTCCTAGTAGCGATGCCAGGAGCCCCTAGCGATGCCAGCAGCCCCTAGTAGCGTCCTTGCTCCTAGTAGTGATGCCAGGAGCCCCTAGTAGCGTCCTTGCTCCTAGTAGCGATGCCAGGAGCCCCTAGTAGCGTCCTTGCTCCTAGCAAGGCTTCCATTTGCAGGACACTGGCCACCAGATCGTTGAGATGCTCAATGCAGATCGGACTCTTCGGATTGAAATGGCCTCTCGGCCGGTCTCGTTTAGACCTTTCGGGGCGAAAGCAAAAGGACCTTTTGGCTTCAATGAAGGTCTCTGCAATGAATGACCATGGCATCAGAAGCAGAAGGAGTCTTTCAATCGATTAGAGCCATTTCTTTTCTGGCTTTTGGCCTAAGGTGCTCGATCCATTTCCTCAACTCGTCTTCACTCCGCCGCAAGAGGGGAGGCCTTTGACCCTCAAAGACAAAGTTATCATTCCCAAAGTACAGTAATTACTTGAAGTTCTTATTTCTCTCCCTATTCCCAATCCACTTGGCGCTTGGAGGTGGTACCGGAACAATAAGATCAAGGCATGGCGCTAAGCACGTCTTGATCTATGAACTTTAGCGGCCATGTCCCAGTTATTCTCGAAAATTCGGATCGGCACGAACTAAGATCGACATTTCTTTCGACTTTGTGACATTTTTCCCCAGATAGCTAGAAGCTATAGGGGTTCTTACTTCTCAATGGATGGGTTCCGGATTGCGGAAATTGGCTGCCGCTGCCGCCTTGTCTCCCAAGCTTGTCTCCCTTCATGATTTCGCTCTTGGCTGCCGCTGCCGCCTTGTCTCCCAAGCTTGTCTCCCTTCATGATTTCGCTCTTGGCTGCCGCTGCCGCCTTCTCATTTTCTTGCCTGCCTTTGACGCGGATGCTGTTATAAGATGTTATAAGTTGATTTAGGTCTTGTTTACCTTTTCCATCCTTTTCCCGGCTTTGAGTGGGATGTCTCCCAAGCTCGTCTCCCGCTCTTGCCATGGTGTCCAACTTTTCTTGAAGTGCTATCTGGGGTCTATGCCGGTATATATTTTTAAATGTATATCAGGTCTGTTAGGGGCCCAAACCGTGCGCAGTAGAGGATGAAACAGCGATCACTGGCAAACCATAGCCTTTGGGCCTTTGTTTGCTGCCGTCAGGTGCCAGACATTCGCGGATCGGAGGTGTGGTCTCCGTCATGTGCGGTTTAGAAGGCGAAACGCGGCTCTCACGGCTCTCACAGCTCTCTCCATCAGGAAAATGCTTAAAGGTTAGATTTCGTTTGTGAACGATTGGATTTGCAGGAAGTTGGCAATCTGGCAGTTTGCTGGGGCCCTCGCCTGAGAAGATTGATTTAAGAAACAAATCGAGAATTCCCTTTTTGAGTGCCTACTGTAATGGTGAGTATGCCATATGCTATTGAGTTTTGTACCTGGCTTTAGCATTTGGTACTGACCGAGCTTTCGTGACGGTGGGCCTTATATCATCCAGCTGCGCCAATATGTTGCTGCAGCCATCTCCTGAGCCAAGCCTCACCCGTTAAGGTGAGCGTGCGGGGGAGTACTACGCCCTGGCTGGATTCTTGAGCTTTGTGAACCCAAATTTCCTAGCGAGGAGCCAAACTGCAATGAAGATCTGCAGCATGTTTTGGCTGGAAAAACGACATATGGAGAGGGTTTGTTTTGTCCAGATCTAAACCCAAGGTGTCATCAAGGTGTCATCCACACTGTGGCTGTTGCCCAAACTTGCGAGTTGACTTCCCCAAGCCGCCGTCGTTCTGAAGGATCACTCTTGGCTTGACAACTACTGCTGTTGGACACACAGCTCCGATCGCTCTGAACTCAGGGCTTCCCTCCCTCTAGGTGTGCGGACCTGAAAGGCAAACATGTTTGTCATTTGGAAGGCCATGCTTAAGACCTGAAGAGGTATGATGTTCTTTAAAGTTTGGCAGGGCCACTTGGGACATGCTTGGGACATGTGAAAGTGGCAAGTGCAAACATTGGATTCATGTAAGAAGGCAATGCTTTACCAAAATGCGATAGACCACAGCCTGTTCATCAATCACTCACACTATTGCAGGTGCTGTTCATCGTTCTTCTTAGATGTCAAGTCATACCAATCAGCTCCTGAGCAACGTCCGCTGCATGCCTCCAAAGCCTCTGAGATCCTGAACTTCATTACGGGTGACAACCCACAGTATTATCTGCCGCAGAACTCCATGCAGCTCAGGCGCGGCAGGTTTGTTTGGTCAACAGAAGCGGTTCTGGTGTGGATGTCGCGAAGAGAATGTCCTGGAATTCCGGAGGATCACATTTACAAACTCCTCGATACTGGCACCTGCCTTTGCATCTTCCTCAGTGTACATGGAATGACGGGTATTTTTCTTCTCTTCGTGGCCATGTCACTTGATTACAAAGAACACACTTCGTGTAGTTTTTGTTTAGTAGCAGTCCGCAAGTGAAGGTGCGGAAGGCCTTGATGGATGTGATTAACTACCCTGCCTGTCATTCCGCTTGCTTGCGAGTGGGTAAGAAGGCAGGCTGCTTTCCTGCAACCCAGGTATCGCTGGAAGAAGATCTGGTTCAGAACATGACCTATGCTGACCAGATGCACGAGGCCGTCCTTCTCTTCAAGTCATGCAGAAAAAACTCTTCTATTCGTGTCTCTCCGCAAACACCACCCGCACCTAGCAGGTAAGGATGTAGGCTCAGAAGCTCCAACTTGGGCCCTAGTCAGGCCTAACACGGGCAATTTGGACCTTGACATAGACCCAACAAGGAGAACATGGTCCAGAAAGGTGTACCATCGCGGCCAAATTTGTGGCAAGTTGGGTTCAACTGTGCGGCAGCTTGATTTGTGGAGACCGTCGGGTAGACAATGTGGCCCAAATCCTTAAGGTTGACCTATGTTTCTTAAACGCCTTCTTTTTCTCCTGCGGTCACATGTCGGTATCATAGCTGCAGCGTGGGCTGAATTCAGAATCCACATAATTCTATAGTTCGCACAAAATCAGTGGTGTATGCAGGGGCAGGTCACCTTTTCAGACCAGGTTCCCCTTATTGGGGTCAGTGTTGGGGTCAACTTGGGCCACATCGGCACCAAGATGAGCCTATATTCCGAAGATGGTGCTCCAACATGTCCAGCATTGTCAAAAAGGTCAAACACATTTTCTTTAAGGGGGGTAGGGGTGGGTAGCAGCTAGCTAAGCTAGAGGTAGCTAGTACCTACAAGTAGCTACTACTGACAGGACGCAGGATAGCTCATGCTTCTTCAAGGAAGCTCCCCATGCCGCCCTAAAGGTGGCGGGGGAAGATTCCTTGAAGAAGCGCTCGCACTCTTCATTTGGTTCCTAGATTTTTAGGGAAGCTTAACTTAACAGCTGCTATCGGTTACGATCTGTGACTTCTAATGTTGGCACCCCTCTTAGCCAAGCTAACTGCAGCTAACTACAGCAGCTATGTTGTCTTGGATCAGTGGTCGTGACACATTCTACACGCCTCAGTCAGCACCTTCGGTGCGAAGCTTTTGCTCGTTTTGCGCTTTATTGGCCCAGCTAGGCATCTCAATCAGTCTGTGGACGACTGTTTCTGGAGCTTCACACGGATCTTGAGTGTGCACCTCAGCTACGTAGGAGCCTCCTAAGACACTCCTGAGGCTTCTGAGGAGCAGCTGCCATTCTGGCGTGGCATCCATCTCCTTTCCTTGAACCAATGACTTATCCCACCAGCTCTGGATTTCTGAGGCAAGGCTTTCCAGTTCCCGTTGGCTGCTACGTTACACCCTCAGCCCACAGTACCTGGTACATCCAGCATGGGAGCAACAAACATGGCCGCAGCTCCGAGGTGGACACCAACCGCTATGGCTCTGAAGGACGGGTGATTGCGATCTACCTCCTCTTTGAGGCGATCTGAACTGGCTTACCAGGTGAAAGGCAAAGAATTTCTTGGAGCCCCAAAGACCGCAGCATAGGGGAATTCAATGGAATTGAATGGAATTGATCCGCCGGAGTTTGGAGTTAGATGATTGCATGTTGTTTTCTTCCATTTCGCCACAGAAGAGCAGAGGTTGAGCCTTTTCCGGCCTTCAGGCTCTCAATGGCCTTCAAGCCCAAACCTCCTATACCATCGTGCGGACCGCACGATCTTGTTTTGCATTTTCAGCACATGTGTCTCAATATTTTGATCGGCATACGACCTAGAACGCACATAACTACCAGCTGCTGGATCGTCACTGAGGTTATGAATGCCAAGCTGCAGATTCCTATGTGACTTGTCTTATGGGGAGCAAGTAAGATATATAGTCTATTTGTGTCGGTTTTCTGGGATCAGGGCTCATTGCAGACATCCTCACAATTGATCAGAAGGGTCGCAGCCAGTTCGTGCAGCTCAGGTCCTTGGCTGAATACGATGCACTGGAGGAGAAGCTCATCGAAGTGGTGACGTTAGGGACTGTGAAAACTGCACTTGAACATCGCCTGGTACAGGTTCTTCATGACCCACAGACATGCCAGCAATGCTTGGTCATCGCCCTCTCTGCTCCCCTTTTTTACCAGAGGCACAGCGAATCTTGCCCCTCTGGTCTAGCAGCCATGCATGTCGGATGGATAAATTTTACAGGACAGAAATTGGGCTGTTTAATCCGTTCCCCTGACTGCTGAGTCCGCCCTAGAGGGCATCCGCAATAGTAACAAGAGTCATTTTGTACTTAAGGGCAGGAGAGCCTTCCATTCTGCCATGCAGGCAAGGTCTCCTGAATCTCTACAGTCCGGTCATGCTTGAACCCGTGCACTTGTGATATTCAGTTGAGTTGCCTCCAGACAGTCAACATGTGTGGAAGTGACATGTAGTATGTGCTCCTAGGCTGGATGACATAAAGCTCAAGCCTGAGGCCGGCCACCTGGACCCGAGAAAAACGCCATATACTGTATATATATATATACAATTGGAGCTTGGTAGGTCCTTGGAAGAAGGCTTTTGAGATTTGTTTGATTATCTATCTATCTATCTTTCTTTCTATCTATCTATTTATTCCAACGGTGCTTTTTGCAACTTTATCACAGCGCTGGAGGGGGTCAGCAGATGCAAGCTTGCTGGTTGCACTGCTTTGCTGCTTTGTCATCTCAAGCGCACCTCGGGTGGAGCATGCATGCTCCAAGTTTCCTATTGACCCACTTATGGATCCTGCGTATCTCTTTTGCTGCGAGCCCAAGCTGCTGGGTTGCATGCGACGAGACTTCTGAACTGCAGCTGTCGAGGCCACGATTCGCAGGAGGTGGACAGGAACTACGTGAGGATTTGGTGCGCTTTGCTGGAGCAGCACAGAAGCCGGTACTCGCAGAAGACGAGCTCCCGGTTCTTCCAGTGGCGGGGCGAAGTCCACAAGAGCTGCTCCAGCATGTTAATCCAGATGGTTCAGCCAATCTTTGGCCAAGGGATACAGGAGGAACACGCAAAGCACGCAAAGAAGATGCAGCTTTGGGCCAGGCAAGTACTATGAGAGATAGTGGGCAAGTCTTCAGGGTGAAGACCAGGCGAAGAAGATTAAAAAGAGAGAAATATCGTTTTGCTCCAGATGGGTCTCAAGGCCTGCTGGCGCTTGCTCATTTTGCTCCTTCTCTTGAAGCAGAGACGCCTGCAGAGAGCTCCGGAGAAGACGTATTTCTCGATTGTGGAACAGCGTTGTTCACTCCGGCACAGTGGCACTTTGTGTTTAGGCCGCCAAACACTGGTGACTTCAATGTTCTTGTGTCAGTGCCCCACAATCAGAAGATTGAGCACCATCAAATTTCTACGATGGAGTTGTCTGTGGCAGCCATCTTTGACAACTGGCAACCCTTTCAAGTGAGATTGGTGGGTCCTTCAAGAACCAGCATCTTACTCAAGCAGGCAAATACAGAGGAATGCGCAGATTTGCACTGTGACTTTACTGAAACGCGATCTTGTCACAGTTGCACAAGACCTGTAGAGAGCTTGAGCGCCTTCACTGGTGAATCAGCCTTAGGCACATGGATAGTGGCATTCGAGGATTCTGCAGGTCGCAAACGGTCTACAGCTGTCGCATGGGCGGCACTCAGAATCACCTTCAGCTGCGCGCCGCCTCTTCCTGCTTGAGAACCTCAACAAAAAATCGCACTCCAGTTTTTCAATCAGTTCTCTCTTGGACGAATGTATCATCTTGTCCATCCGGGTCCAAATTGGACCAACGGCTGAGAGCATTGATTGACCAAAATTGAAGCCAAACACATACTGTAATGCAATTTTGTATGCAAAGCCAAAAGATGCTTGCTACTCTCAGCGTGAGGGCAAAATGACAGTGCGATGCGGATGGCCTTGACAGGCCCTATAGTGTCGTCTCGGAATCGTTTTTGCGGGAGAGCCATAAAGCAGTTGTGAACTTAAAGTTCAGGCTTCAGGCTGCTCCGTTCGTAGCGTCCTCTTGTTCCTTTTAGCTGGAGCCGATGACGCACAGGGAGTGGTCGATGTCGGCTACGTGAACCCCGACAAGCCGATGCAGAGATCAGCTGACCGCTCGGTGGTGCTTGGCGTGCTTGCCAAACATCGATTCGGGTCAGTTTTCCAATTGCATGATGTACACAAAATCTAACTCCAGACGGAGGTGAACTCCCCAATGGGGGGCTGCTTTTGAGAGAATATGGCTGTGGGTCAAAACCCAGGGTAGGTTGACCTCCTTAGTAGTCCATTCTGTTCATTTTTTGTGGTCAACCAAGGTAGCCCGGTTTTGACCAGAACCGGTATTTCTCTGTTTTTTTACGTTTTTTCCGGGAATATGTTTTGTTATTTTTTCTGCTTCTGCTTTTGCTTTTGCTTATGCTTTTGATTTTTGCTTCTGCTCTTATTTGCTTTTCTTTTGCTTTTCTTTTGCTTTTGCTTTTTGCTTTTTGCTTCTGCTTCTGCTTTCGCTTTTTGCTTCTGCTTTTGCTTTTGCGTTCTGCTTTTGCTTTTGCTTCTGCTCTGCCTTTGCTGCTGCTTCCGCTGCGTCTTTTGCTGCTGCTTTTGCACTTGCTCTTGCTTCTGCTTTTGCTTCTGCTTCTGCATTTGCTCTTGCTTCTGCTTTGGCAATTGCAAATATAGGCAGCTTGAAGCGCTGCAAATGCTGCTGCAAGAGGCGGCTTTGTTTACTGCACTGCTTGCTGCGCTGCTTGCCGTGGCCAGGGTCTACCGAGCGTGTCTTGCTGCAAGCGGCCAGCTTCCAATACTACGCTGGTTGCAGTAGAGACCCTGTGCTGCTGCAAGTGGCCAGCTTCCAACGCTGCCCGCACAGTTTAGAGGAGGAAGGTGCCAGTCCAACAGCGCAAACCTTGTGTGCCACTCTAAAGCCAAAATGAACGGAGGAAGGTGGCAATCCAACGGTGCACACGTTTTATGAGCCAAGCGAGGGCACAATTAAGAGAAGGAACGTGCCACTCCAACGGTGCATAACTTTTGTGACGTTTTGCGAGCCACTCGAGGGTAAAATTTAGAGGAAGGTGCCATTCCAACGGTGCATACCTTTTGTGACCTGTTGTGAGCCACTCGAGGGAAAAATTTGGAGGAAGGTGCCGTGCACCCAAGGGTAAAATTTAGAGGAGGAAGGTGCTATTCCAACGGTGCACACCTTTTAATTGTGACTTTGTGAGCCACCCGAGGTTGAAATTTAGAGGAGGAATGAGGAAGGTGCCATTCCAACGGCGCGGGGCTTTTGTGAGCCACCCGAGGGTAAAATTTGGAGGAGGAAGGTGCCAGCATACCTTTTCTGAACCACCCGAGGTTGAAATTTAGAGGAGGAAGGTGCCATGCCACGGTGTGAGCCACCCGAGGGTAACATTTAGAGGAGGAAGGTCCCATTCCAGGGGTACGTACCAGAGACTGGAAGCTGGAAGACAGCGCAAAAAAGTCCCTATTGTAGTTCCTCTCTCCATTTTTCTCACGGCTCCTTCTCCTTCGTCAAGTGGGGTGCCTTTTCTGCCCCGTCCCTCTGTCACTGTCTCGCTTTCCCTGCCGCTGGCTTTGCTGCTTCGTCCCCTGACACTTCTGCTGCCCCTGATGCTTTTGAAAAGCACTCCCAAGAAAACGCGAAACAAATTACCAGAAAAATGTCGAAAACAAATCTGGAAAATACATATCCTTTTGACCCGCAGACATATGATACCTTCAGACACTTCTCTTGTTTCTAAAGAACATGTTCTCGCTCTTGAACCATGTGTATATATAATATATATTTCTTCGCTGACCTACTTCCCCGCCTGCCAGAACACAAGCGAAGATATGCGCTGGTTTCAAGGAGGTCCAGTCCTGATGAGATTTGTGCGTGTGTATGTGTCTACGTGACCATTTTTTGCTTTCGAAAGGGAAAGAACTACTGCTCATTGTTTCATGTTGGGACAAGCCTCTAAAAGCTACTCGTATTTTCGTCATGGCTGTGATCCAGAGCAACCCAGAGAACCCACGACCATTCCGTGGGTCTTGCAAGCCAGCCAACAGATTCACCACCGCTGGTTCGGCCGGTCTTCCGAACATGACATGCAGCCTATCGCTTTAGACTGAACCTATGTTGCCACCAGCAATTCGCAGGTTATGGCGGCATTTACCTCCAGCGCTTTGCAGTGAACGACATCGTGGATGGACCTCGGCCGCCTTACCCCCAGGTGAAACAGGACATGGTGCATCCAGCAGCGAGTCGGGACACGGAAGACACAGGACGAGGAACGTGTGCTTTTAACCCTTTGCGTTCTGAGGGCAGAAGACGAGGCAGTTCTTAATGTTGCTGACATGGCCGTGGCTGACGAACTGGGTACGAAACCAAGTGGTGGTCATTGCTTTCACTTGCAGTCATGTTGAACATACTGCAAATCTTGATCTCCAACATCAGATTTGCTTTCTTCAATACAGAACGCTGTTTTGATTCTGTGGTAGGATTCTTTGCTTGGTTCCTGTCTTGAGTGGCCGTTCCTTGACCTTGGAATTGTGTGTGCAAAACTTTAGGCGCAAGATCTTCCCTTGCATGAAACAGGCTCTCTTTATTCAAGCAATCGCTCCCCCGAATCACAGCGCCGTAGACCCCAAACAGCTTGTGTTTTTCACAACCGGAACACTCTGCAACTAGAGCTTGCGACGTCCAGAGCTGGGAGACAAAGGATTGCAAGGCAGAGGCGCTCGGAAGGAAGACAAGGCGGACGCAATGACCAACAAGAAACAACAAGGGAGACAAGAAGGGGAGACAAAAGGAAACAGAAGGGAGACAAGATGGACACAGTGACCAACAAGGAGGGAGACAAGACCGGAGATAAACAGAAACAACAATGCGGACACGATGACCAACAAGAAGGGAGACAAGAAGGAAAACAAAAACAAAACAGAAGGGAGACAAGGCGGACAGTGATCCACAAGAAGGGAGACAAGACCGGAGTCAAAGGGAGACAGAAGGGGCGAGGCGGACACAATGACCAACAAGAGGGAGACAAAAAGGAGACAAAAGATAACAGAAGGGAGACAAGACGGACGCAATGATCAACAAGACGGGAGACAAGAAGGGAGACAAAAGGAGACAGAAGCGAGACAAGACGGACGCAGTGACCCACAAGAAAAAAGACAAGACCGGAGACAAAGAAAGAGTGAAGGGAGACAAGACGGACACAGTGACCACAAGAAGGGAGACAAAAGGAAACAGAAGGGAGACAAGGCGGACACAGCGACCGACAAGAAGGGGGACACGGTGACCAACAAGAGACTGCGGCAGCAAGGCGAACACTCTTAGAAAGCATTTAGAACAGTAACCTGTTTGGGGAAGTGCAGAAATCACAGACAAATGAATAGAAATGCTGGAAAGGGGAAAAGGGCGGATGCCAGCAGTGCAGGCACCGAACCTGGAAAACCAAAGTAAACAAACCGCATGGGAAACAAATGAATAGAAATGCTGCATGGCCAACGGAAAAGGGCGGACACCAGCAGTGCAGGCACCGAACCTGGGAGACAAAAGTAAAGAAATCACTTTAAAGACAAACGAATTGAAATGCTGCATGGCCAGCAGAAATGGGCGGACACCAGCAGTGACAGAAAGGGCCGACGCATCTTAAGAAAGAATTGAGAAACCCTACGTAACGGCAAACTGTTTGGGGAATGAATAGACATGTTGCATCGCCAGCGGGAAAGGGCAGACACCACCATTGACACACCTCGGAGACAAATGATCAGAAAAAATGCTACATGGCCAACGGAAAAGGGTGGACACCAGCAGCGACAGACCTGGGAGACAAATGAATAGAAATGCTACATGGCCAGGGGCGGACACCACCAGTGACAGACCTGGGAGACAAATGAATAGAAATGTTGCATCGCCAGCGTCAAAGGGCGGACACCAGCAGTGACAGACCTGGGAGACACTACATGGGCAGCGGAAAAGGGCGGACACAGACCTGGGAGGAGACAAGAACTGCTAGATGGCCGGCGGAACAGGGCGGACACCAGCTGTGACAGACCTGGGAGACAAATGAATAGAAGTGCTACATGGCCAGCGGAAAAGGGCGGACACCAGCAGCGACACAAAGGGCGGACACATGTTAAGAAAGAATTGAGAACCCCTAACAGTAAACTGCTTGGGGAAAAGCAGCGAGTCTTCCATTAGGTTTCTTTCAGACAAGAAGGCCCGCGCTACTAATTCCGGTGAGACTTGCTTTTTTGCTTGTCGGCTTACCATGTGAGCACTTTGGAGCATCTGTTTTTTTACAATGGTTTTTGGTGTGCGCCAGATAGGGTTGTGCCAAACGGTGTCCGAACAAACAAGTTTACTTACAGTATGTTCACCGCTACTACCACTTGGAAAGGCGTTGCGCCCCCTAAACCTCTAGCAATCTGGCTTTTGTAACACCACGTTAGAACGATCTAGAATGTCCTAACACCACGTTAGAACGAACTAGTATGTCCTAACACCATGTTAGAACACACTAGTACGTACTAACATCATTGCTAGTACAGACTAGTATGTCAAGATGTTAGTACAATCTAGCGTGTACTAACAACATGTTAGTACAAACTAGTATGTACGAACACCATGTTAGTACAAACTAGTATGTACTAACAAAATGTTGAACGTACTAACGTTTGTTATCGCGTACCAACACATGTTAGTACATTTCAGGGACATTGTTAGTACATTTTGGGGACATTGTTAGTACATTTGAGAACGTTGTTAGTACGTACTAACATTTTTTTAATATGTTCTAACATTGTGTTAGTACGTTCTAACATGTTTTTAGTACATACCATTATGTACTAACATGGTGCTAGTACATACTAGTATGTACTAACATGGTGTTAGTACATACTAGTATGTATTAACATGGTGTTAGTACACACAAGTTTGTACTAACATGGTGTTAGGACATACTAGTATGTACTAGCATGGTGTCAGTACACACTAGTTTGTACTAACATGGTGTTAGGACATACTAGTTTGTTCTAGGGTGGTATTAGGACATTCTATTTTGTTCCAACGTCGAAAAAACACCCGCACGCCGCTGTGTGCTGGAATCTTGACCCTTACTACAAAGGGCACCATATATATATATATATAGACTATAGACTATAGGTCTGCATGACGCTCTTTCTATAGTGCCTAAAGAAACTTCTACCCGAGATATATCTGACATTTCCTGGGACGTGCATCTTTCGATGAGCTTGTCGCGATTCCGATTGATCAGTTAATGCATCTTGATGAAGTGTGAGCAAAAGTATCCTTAGAATCTTTGTTTTTTTGGGAACATGCCCCAAAACAAGGTCTCCACTAACCCAGGATTTTATTCCGTACTTGGACCAAGTCTCGTTGGAATTAGTAGCGCGCACTCACAAAGAAAACAGGTTCTATCCGATCCAACCCGAGCCGTAGAAGATCTTGACAGAGTGCAAGCCGAGGTCTGTCTTTCGTCATTCGTGGAGAAGAGAGGGGTAAAATTACCCAACAGTTGCATGCTGAGAATCCAGTATGCAAACAGCGTAGATCAACTGAAAATTGTGCTGCATATTATCAATCAAAGATCAAATGCGCCCAACAGAAATCATTTGGTGACCCCCAAAGAAATCAATCAGGAACCAACCATTGTCCTGATCCCTCGACATGATTCTGATCAACCCCATTTGTTGCGAGCACATAGACATCTAGGTCCTTGCTGCGAATCTACTTGTGGCCATTGACAGTCTGGAACTTTGACATTCGCACGCGGGAGTGCCCAGCGTGGACGTAGGACCGGAGAAGGACTCTGTTTGAGGAGATTGCTCTCAACGTCAAGCTTAATTGTAGCGAAAACAGGTGGATGCCGCTGTCGGTTGACGCTTGCCGCCCTGAGGCCATGCCAGGCCAACTGCCAACCGCACTTTTCAAAGTTGTGCACTTCCACTGTGCCTGGGATACAACTTTGCAAGTTCAGCGAAGAGCACTTGTTGCACGCTTGCCTGAAAAGACATTGGTTTGAATTGGTATATATATATTATATATATATATGTATTGGTTATACAATGGGTTTCTTCACCGCACGAGAGTGCATGAGATCATTCAGCCGGAGCAAGTGCAGAACATCAAAGCGATAGGACACACCAAGTTGGGTTTCAATGCCACCCTGGCATTCACAGGTTTTTCCATCGCCATATAGATTGTGCAGATTGTTGAACATGACCCCTTTCCCGCACATCCTTTGATGCCCTGCAAGCGAGCAACAGGTGTTATTCTGAAACTTCCCGGCCAAGAGATTGCAGTTCCAATTGCTTCTATCATGGTACAGAACCCACGGAACCCCGGGGACTGCGACTGTCAGTGAGGTGGACTGTCAGATGGAGTCAGCAATGTCTCTTTGCCTGGGCCTTTGCTTGAGATCAAAAGAGACCTCGCTGCGTTTGAAGTTTGAGGACTTAGCTGTCATCCAGACTCTGCCTGTAGTACATCAGCTGTTCTCTGAAACTAAGGGGTGGCTGAACAGCTGAACTTGACCAAGTTGCATGTTGACATTCTTTTTGATGCTTTCATGACAATACTGTAACACTTCAAGCGGATCTTGCCCACATGTGCTGTGCACGATGATGTGGTGGTGTTGCTGCCCTCGCTCCCAAGGTGAAGACTTTATACCACCGTTGGCTCAGCAATGGGCGTGGCTGGCAAGCTTGCGACAGTCCACATCAACACCAAGCCTCGTTGAAATGTGACCCTTCAAAGAGTGAACACATGTGCTCATTCGACTTGATTAGCCCAAAGCATGGCTTTTTGAACCTGCACTGTAGATTCAAGATCCCCTTTCGGATGGACACGGCTGGGAATGAATCGCTTAGTTTTCTAGGACTTGGATGTCCCAACTACGCAAAGATTGGGAAAGATATCCAGGAGATTGGCCAGAGTACCCCCATACCTTTTCAGGCAAACACAATGGATGTTGCGCCATCCGCAAGCCCCAGCAAAATTGGTTTGGGCCATTGCGAAATTCGCAATAACTGCTGCGAATGTGGGATTTCATTGACTGCAGGGCATGTGAGGTTCTGTTTTTTCCGCATCTGCGGTGCTTTACAGCCGACCTCCAAGCTGACCTCCGGGGCCGACCTCCAAGCTGACCAAACCCGAGTGTCACGCGTGGCGCGTCACGCGTTTTTGCTTGCGTTGCTACCTTTAGCGATCCACTTCTAGATATAAATCTTCTGCATAAATGACATCAATCCGGGGAAGCCCCTTTGTGATCTTCACCCGCGCTCAGCTTGCTAAGCCATTCTCGCTGTCTTCATGGTATGTTCGACATGTTGCCGATTCCCTGCATGAAGATTCAGGTTGCTCCTGAAACTCAAACAGAACCAAGACTTTAAGAAAAATGCTCACTTTGTGATTGCTCCTTTATCAGTTTGTGTTCCTTTTTGCTTTCTTTTCTATTCAGGAGTGCGCTCTCGATCAGCAAATGTCTAAGCACATAGCCAGTCATTGATTCTCATTCGTTGCTTTTTCTCCTTAAAACCTCTCTCTCGCTCTCTCGTGCCACCATCATTGCCAGGTTGACACAAGGGGTAGGGCATGTGACTGGTATGCTCAGCCTGGCGTTTGCAATACGGACGGTGAGTTCTACACTCCAAGCGGTGTGCTTAGAAGCGTTAGTTTTTTTGTTGCCTGAGAGGTAGAGAGAATGGCAGCCGTATAGATGATATATATATATATACAAACATACGAACCAATACAGCAAAAAGAGACAGAGTTGAGGAGGGGAGGACCCAACTGCACCAAATGTGAAGGACTTTTCATGCGAGTTGGGGTTGAGGAGCAATTGAGAAACAAATGTGGTTGCACCTGGACAAAACAGGACGTGCAATTTACAGTTTGAAGGCAGTGACATTATTGGCTGGATGCTAGATGGATGCTATGGGAGCGCAACCCAAGTCTAGGTCATGGCTATTCAGCTTTGTTTGCTTGCTGCGTTTGTGTCCCAGCCTCAGACACTTCTGAGAGGCCTGGCTGATGAATTGTTCCCACTTTAGACGGATCATGGCTTGATTGTAGGAAGTACTACTCCAGCACAGGTTTCCTTCGAGTCAGCATGTAGTGATGTCCCCACAATCTGAATTTTGAAATGTCACTTTAAAGTTTAAAGCTGCACATGGCAGGAAGGAGGAGTTCGATCGAACGCCAACATCATCAAGCTTCGCCTACCAACAAGGCGACAATAGTGACTACAGAAGCAACACGTACACGAAACTGACCAGTGGACAATAGTGGACCGCTCACCCAGCTGCTTGTTGGTTTGTTCTCAACAGCCATCCAATCTAAGAAGGTCCCGATGACCTTTGCCAGTTTTACCTCTGATGTATCCTATCAATGTTTGATGTTTGTCGTTGCTCGACCACGAGGTAATTTCCTCCACGATTCTGGAACCCCATTGCGCAGGATGGATCCAGCCTTCACATCAGAAGTGATGCACACAATCCGCTTTTGGGCTGTGCTACACTGAGCGTGGCCATGACATCGGAAGATCCTTGTTTTGGGCTGGCAGGATTTGTGAACAGTTTGGATTCCAAGATGTGCTCTGAGCAAAACACAAAGGGTTACAGCCACTTTCCCTAAACATCTAGGAAACATCTAGGAACTAAATCAGTTGTGAGACCGCTTCTTCAAAGAAGCTCCATCCCGCCGTCAGCCTGGGGGAGCTTCATTGAAGAAGCGTGAGCTATCCTGCGTCCTAGCAAAGAATGAACTTCTCCTACTAGCGAACTAGTCGCCCTTGCTTACAGTAATTAAGTAGGAGCAAGGGCATCGCTACTAGTAACAAGGGCATCGCTACTAGGAGCAAGGACGCTACTAGGGGCTCCTGGCCTACTTAAGTAGGGCGTTAATTAAGTAGGCGCCTACTAAAGTATGAGGCAAGAGGGCCGAGCGGGCTAAAAAAAGACACGCGGAATGGTCTCTGAGGCTCGGCCCTTGCCAAAGCGTGGCTTCTTCCCGATCCGCATGGGCGCACAAATCTCCACGTCCAATGATGGCTACCCTGACTACACACAAGTGCCAGGCCCTCAAGCTGGACAACTCTTCGAGAAAAGGTTTGGGATTTCCGGTGCTAGTTGAAAAGAGCCAGTTTTGCTTATCTTCAAATTTGCTTCTTGGAATCTTTCTCGGATTGTGCATCATGTGCTGAGTGTGCCAAGGGCAGGACGGTATCTTGCGCACCTACCTCCCCAAACCAGCTATGCATCAGTGGTGCAAGAGCCTCAGCTCCGAGCAGTTGGCCCTGTTGAACCCCTGAGCATGGATATATGACATATTCCGATGCAGTAAGAAAAGATAAGAAAAGAACAACACCTACTAACACCTATTCATCCTCATAAAGACCAGAGTTTGTGCAACTGGGTGAAGTGGCATGTTCTGATGATACGCGTGGAGCCTTTTCGTTTGGCCAGGGGCTCGTTGGTTGGCGTGGAGGGTTGGGGAAACTTGAGGCCAGGGGTTTGGAAGAGTGGACCATCCTTGAGATGTCAGATATGGAAAGCACTGTCTTCACAAGATGGATAATCAAAGAGACAAGGCCCCCCTTTTAAAGCGTCCTTCCATCCATTTTGTCATCTCATTTCTTCAATTGGAAGTCCGTGTTCTCGGGTTGCTACAGAATGCGGCCGCTCAGCCTTTCTGACTCCGGTTTCGAGTTAGGCGAGAGACTGCATCTCATACACTGCCAGGCAATTCAACTCTGACCCAGTCTGGAACAATATGTGCCCTTTGCCTTTTCAACATGATTTGGAGCCAGTACCTGTCAAGCGCGTAACATGTTTATAAGACTTGGTCTTCGGTCTTCAATGTCCCAGGTACATCCGCATGCAGATGCCTTTGACGGTTCGCGCTGTGGGAGGTGCCGGGCGGTTGTGAATGGAGCCCAGACTCATGCTATATACAACTGATGTTAGCTGATTTTTCACCAGGTCATTTGCTGAACCTAGTGACCGAGTGACGGTTCCTTTTTTTTTCACCAGACAGTGGAGATTGAACGATATGTGCAAAGCAGTGGACTTGGTCACCCTGCGGACACCTCTTGTCTCCAACCGGAGAACTGGCGGAGAACTGGCTTGCACGACAGCTTGTAGGTGGCCCAGAGCACACCTTGTGGCGAAGTACCGCTTATTTCGAGGTGGTGTTGCCACCAGGCCAAGGGAGAAGCGAAGAAAGGAGGCAAGGGCCCTTTAATAAGGCCTAATCAGGCATCCTTTAAAGGTTTGCCTTATTCAATGAGCCCTTCCCTCTTTCTTCTCTTCATTTTTCAAAGGAACACCGACTGCCTGAACATGCTTGAATCCCGCATCCAACTTTGGTGTTGAAATCTTTCTGCGGCAAATCAACGTAAGTGAAAGCCCTGATACGTTGCACCCTGCTCTCTCGAGGCTACAAGTGCATGCATGCCGAGCGAGCTCTGGGCCCTGCAGATGGTGACAACCAGGCGGCTCGTAAGTAGATCCATGTTCGCTTCAGGACGAGCACATGTTTTCTTTCCCATAGAAGCTAGGTCTGCAGATCCTGTAGAGCATCCGACTGTGAAAGAAGCCGTCCAACATACCCCTCGGTGAGCGGAAGATAGACTTGAGGGAAGTCGAGCATTGGAAAGCTGGTGAAATCGATGAGGTTCAGATGCCGTGGCTGTCAGAGACTCGGTCTGAAGAAACCCATCCACGAAGGAATCGACGCACGGTCCGTGCGTCGCCACGCTCAGGTCAATTGTGTCTCCTCAGGTGGGGTGGGATCTGGGAAGGATGTCCCTTGGGCCAAAGCGGACTGCGCTGGCCCGAGGTTTCATGACGTCTTCAGTGAAGCGATGTTTGCTTTCCAGGTGCTGAACTTGTTCATCGGTTCATCGGCTTTTCCAGAATCCACTCCACCTGTGTACCTCCAAGACTTATATCCCTGACACTCCAACTTAATAGCAATGGCCTCCAACCTACTTACCACCGATATCCAGCGATGGCCTCAATCTCAGAAAGAGACAGACAAATCTGTGTTGAGTCGATTGCTGCAACAAATGTCCGCAGGGCAAAGGCCTGTTGCCGGGCGCGGATGTGCGGGAAGGCGGCAACCTGTGCCTGTGAAGCATTGATGGTTGGATTCAGCTTGCAACAGCCCGGGACAACGGTGCGCAAGTAAACTTTGTTGCATTCATATATATATATATATCTTTTGAACAATTCTGAAACAAAGCTACTAGTACACAGCTTCATGTCTAAGGAGCGCTCCTGGTGTGATTTGGCCAAGTGGAGATTGGGAGTTTATGGACAACAAGTGCCCTGGCAATCTAATGACCTTAGTCTGATCCTTGCCACAGATGACTTGGCAATTGGCTAGTTTGACGCATAATGGCATCAATGCCAGTTGTCCTTTCTGACAATAGTTGCCTTTGCAGAAACTTTTGTTTGCGTAAGAACAGACATTCATCCGTAGGATCCGACACAAGCCACCAAAAAAGAAGTTCATCCAGAATCATTTCGCAATATTGTACTTTGACACTATGACCCACGTCCTTTTCATTGCACTTTATCGGCCATGTAGGTGTATCTTCTACATGACTCCTGACATGACGCTCTACGATCGCCAGCGCAGGGATGCTTGGAATTTCGGCCAATGAGGTAGAGTTACTTGTAGGCAGAAGTAGGTCTTAGCCTTTGACTGGTCAATCTGACGCCCAATGCTTGGGAATATGTACACATTGGCATGTTGGCTGTCGCTTTTTTATTCTCTGTGTGTTCATGCATAGGCCTCTACCTGTACATTTGGGCCTTGAACCCGTCACGGCCAATGCCAAGAGATGATCCGGAGAACGTTTGGCAGGTGTGGGTGTTAATTTCGACTTCTTTTGCCCCTTCAGGCTGCTGTTGATGTTGTTGCTGCTTGCATAATTACGTAGTCTACCGGTCAAGTATTATACTATATGATACTCAGAATGGGCTGACACAATGCCTCCTTTCGGCCTTCAGATCAATTTCAGATCTGCTGGCACTTGGGCTCTTCCGGAATCTTGGTCTGCACAAGATCAATTTCTGGTTGTCAGAACGCAAATCCAAGGGTTGATTTAGCGTGCCTTTGATGTAAGAAGTGTGCCTGCTCTCCGTGTGCCAAGGATCAACACACAATACCATGCCAGCCCTTTCTTCCACCATTCTGCAATGATACAGGAGAAAAGTACTTTGTCTGGACCTCAAGGCTAAAATTGGGCCTCCAAACTGTTGCAAGTGAGTGGATTGGGTCTCTTCAAGTCCAGCCACAATGGCCGTTCGGGCCGTTGAGCACTGAAAACTCAAGCTGAGGTGAATCCTGAATCCTATCCGCTGGTGTACCGTGACTATTCGCTCCTCTACCCCAACTACACAGAAGTAGAGATGGATCTTGGCTCCTTGACCGCGAACTCGCCGCCATGGCGTTCCTGTAGCTGTCTCACCTTCCCAATTACATTTGGGAAGCAAAGGACATTTGTTGCAGCCACATTTCCACACAGATTGATACCACTTTGAAGTGTTCGTTGTATGCCATTGTTTCTTGGGGACTGTCCAAGTAGGATCTGCCTGCAATACACGGGTGGTGGGCGACTTTATGCAGTCTGAGCAAGCCTGAGGCCCCTACGACTTTGCTGTCCCACCAGGTGAAGACCACTACTTTGTCACGAACTTTGCAGTGCTCGGCGTGCTGAGGCAATCAAAGCTTCCCTGATCACTGTTCTTCTGTTGAAGACAACACTTGAGGGACCTACGGAGGTTTATGCTCAGCCAAAAGAAGACTTGTTACTAAAAGCCTTTTTGTGACCAAGGAGGGTTGACTTGTCGTTCAAACTTTCTTGGACTAGTCTAGGCATTTAGATCAACAAAACTAAGAGCATGTAACGTGATAAACAAATAAGAGGATCAACAAAATATATTCCTGGTCCCCTGGTCCTTAGCCCCCTGATCCTTTTCCTGGCCGGCTGGCCTTGCGGTCGGTCAAAAAGTGCGAGGTTTGCGAACTTCATAATATATGATATTTGCGAATTTGGCACGACCTCTGCAAAACAAAAATGCTGCCTGGTTGCCTTGGTGCTTGTGTGTCTTTCTGGGCGCCCGTCATTGTCGATGAGGGGTCTATGCTGGCGTAATTGCATGTTTTCTCCCACTCCCACTCCTCTCCCAGACACATCTCATGATACAGAATATGCATTTTTGTTCCCAAATGCGTGCACTGGCATAGTTGCAGTTTAACGACTCAGTACCTTCGTGGGCGGATTTTTTGATGATATTCTCATAACCCAGGTAGCGAGAGCAGTATAGGAAGAGGTGCATGTGTGCGCTTTGGAGCCCTGGGTGCTGGTGTCGCTGCGTGGTCGTGTGCTCTTTGGAGCTTGGTGGCGGTGCTGCAGGGTGCCGCTGCTATGCTGCCGACACATGTTGGCGTAGTTGTGTCTTTTTTGACTCCTCACCCCAAGCCTACTGGCCCACCTTTGTACAATCAAACTGTCTCCTCAACTCGACTGCAACCTGGTTGGACGGGGCATAGGTGGCATTACCAGGCATTGTTTGACCGTGCCCTGAATCAGGACCTTCACTTCATTGGTTGCAGATAGGAGATACGGAGATTATCGGAGATTCGATTTCTCTTTTGGTTTGTTACTAAGCCCAGGCATTCCCTTTGAACTCTTTGTAGTCGTGTGCATATTCATCCATGTTGTCAGGCAAACCGTAGTGCAGCCTCCATCGGTTGTGCTAGGTTCCAGGCTGGGGGCATGGAGGGGATGTTGGCGTGATGATGGCATTGGTTGTTTCAAGCTGTTCTGCAGGAATACAGGGTATCAGTCATAGATAGGTAGAAACATTGACGAAACAACTTGATGTCAAACTCTACGTTACAACTCCACGCGCCATTGTCCAGGGATTTTGGCAACAAGATTGAACGACAAGATTGACATGTAAGGGCCTGCAAGGGTCTAAGAAGTGCACCTAGATATTGATCCTGCTTTTGACCATTCAGGACCAAATTTCAGCTTTGGTTTGTTGCTGAAATGGGAGCTGACCGTGGAGGTTTCGTTGGGGCTGGGGACCCCAGACTGGGAAGGACCCATGCCTTTGCCTGGTTGATTGGTACTTGGAACCGCGAACACCACCACCACAACCACCACGACGAGCAGCAACAACAACAAAAGCAGCGTACTTGTCTCCTTGCTACGAGCAGCATGCGCTCCAATGAATGACCGCTTTGTTCTTTTCCTTTTCCATTTTTCAGTTGCTATAGTTAAGTTTCCAAAAAATATCTAGGAGCCAAATCATTAGCGTGAGCTATCCTGCGTCCACACTAGTAGCCACTTAAGCTACTAGCTACCTAGCTACTATCTACCTACCTATCTAGTCTTAAAAAAACAGAATACATTTTTCAGTTGTTTGATTCTAAGTTTCTACCCTTTTCCTTCCTGCGTTGACAGCTCTCAAAGTGCGGAGTTTGGTGTTATGCTGCAGTCCTTTGCAATCGTCGTCACAAAAAGGCTGGTCCTGCGCCCCGCCGTGCTAATCGTGCCCTAAGACCCGCCTCTGGTGACTTTGTGGAGGTATTTTCTCGCGCGTTTCAAGTAATTACATCGCGTTGCCCGCAAAAAGGAACTACTTTGCATACCCGAACATACCTGTACCTGTTCATTCAAAATGGTGCATAAGTCTTTCAGCCTTTCAGCCCAACAATAAGTGCTCACCTGTCTCAGGATGTCAACAGGTCTACAGGAAGATGCGGCGAAGGAACAAAAGACAAAGTTATGCAAGAAGGATTAGTTGCATAGGAAATTCCAGCAAGAAGACACCGCTGCTGCAAAGCGGCCAGACATATGCGCGCAAAGTTTTGTGAAGCTTGAACCTTCTATGTTTACGTAGTAGAAGCCACGCATTCGTTGGATTGATCTTAGAATAATATGTTCCTTCACAAAGTGCACATCCAGGTTAAAAAGAACTCTTCTCTTCATACCAGATAGTAGAAACCACAAGTCAGCAACTCTGCGCATTAAGATTGTATCCATTTGGAGTTGAATTACTCCTGGACAGCCAATAAGAATATATACAATCCCTGTCAGATAGGATCAATATCCACGTATTTGGAAGGATTGTATACGTTAAGTATCAATGTATATATGTCACAATTGTCATGGAAGTGATGTTGATTGTACTGTCCACAGTCTGCGACTATTTGTTTATTCATTTTAAAGACAGCAGTCCTACTGGACAGCCTGTTGGACCCTCTTGAAGCTCGTGTTTTTTGTGATGTGCAATGGTCCAGCCTATTGGGACTAGCTGGCTTGACATTTGCTGCGCTGTGCGCATCTCAGCAGTTGTAAGGCATTTTATGTGTTTGCTAGCTGCATTTGCCTATGGTTGCAAACATTGACGTACGTTTTCTATGTACCGCACTCCATGGCACCCCTGTTAGGACCCCCTATGCTGTTGTGTTCAAATTGAGAAAGACCAGCTGAACCCCGAGCTCTGTCATTTGTGGCATGTAGCAAGCTTTTTGAGGAGCAAAAGCCCAACATGTTGAGCTTAAAAGTCAAAATTTCACAGTTCATGGGGACCGGTTGCATTTCAAAATTGTATGATGCGCTTGTGGCATATTATATAACTCAAAGACTCAAAGCCGAAACTTCGAATGCTCGAAGACCAAGGTTCATTCACCTGGAGGCTTCGAATTTGGAGAGCCTGGCACCGAATTCTGTGAATTGCGCAGACTACTGCATCCCCTTGGCAGAACCTCCCCTTTTTATGCATATGTACAAACATATGTATTATATATATATACACATACATACACACATAATATACATACATAGAAACCAAATCAGGACTTCATGCAGTTCTGTCCTGCCCGACTGAGTCCATGCTCTGCGCGAAACTTGCCAGAGGACACGAGTTCATAAAGAAATATAGGCTTTCGATCTGGCAACTACACTGGCCGTTCACTCATTTGTTTGTTGACTTGTAGGGGAAGCACCCGAAAATTTGCTGGTTGTATTGATGACCAGCTGCTTTGGCTTTCCTTCCCTAGTTTGCTGCAACCCGGTACCCGTCTCACCACATTAAAGCTCGATTTACATATAGTATATATATATACATAGTTTAAAGATCGTGGGTTGGCGTGAACATGCAAAGATGCAAGTTCTTGTTGCAACTGTATTAAACATGTACTCGGAAGCATCACAAGGGGTGCGTATGCACTCCTACCTTGCGCATTTTCTGCCGCCACTTCGCGGAAGGAGTATTACTCGTCTTTCGGGCCGCCGGGTATGGTGGTGCCTCAACGTGTGTGGCCTCTGGAGGATCGAACGTTTGTTTTGGGGTGTTGGGGAATAGCGAAGGTTTGTGATTCTAGAGCCCACAGCTAATGACCCAGGAGTAACAGCATGAGAGGAGTCTTGAGGTTTTTGGCAAGGCATTACATCACCCACCACAGTCACCACAGTCAACAAATTCTTCGGATTTTGGAAGCATGCAGTCTGACAGAGGGCTTTTCTACTCTCTCACTAAGACACGCAGATTCAGACCAACCATGACCGGCTGTGAATCTCTTCATCGAACGAAACTTGTTGGACAGGACATGGGTGACTGCCATTTGGGGAGTCCACCCAGCTGGCACCCCAACGGGAACTATGCCATGATCAAAGTTGCAGGCAAGTTGGTTCATCTTCAGGAGGGTTCCTATGAGAAGGCTCTGCCACCTTCTCAGCTAGAAATTTGAGGGGTCTCCGATTGATACCACCAGCCTCTGGTCCATCAGATATTCCAACATATTATAGAGATTGATTCATATGAAGCTTCGCGCATAGGGAGGTTCGACACGAAGATGACATCTGCGGGTTCGATTGCAGGCGAAGCATGCTTTTATCGTGTTGCTGCCAGGCTCAGTGATTGCCGACCGATTATATGGGCTGGAGATCGATATTGACCTTCCAGCGTACTTCCTGTCGCAGAATCACAGCAGCTGAGCCCAGGATACATGGAGGGGAGCAAGACAAATCGACTGTGGAGAAGCAGACTGAACAGGTTGTATGTGCTGTGAAACATTTGTGCGCAAATGATAAAAGGATTGGTGCCACCATCAGGGGGTGGGTGCACCTTCTTCAGAAGGATGGGTGTTAGCGCTTTTTTTGGCCACTTGAAGTGATTGGTGGGGTACCGCGTTGGAACCTCCTGACACAGTTATTCCAGAAAAACTATGTTTTTCTCTGGGGTGTCCTGTTCTCCAAAGAAGTTGACACTTAAGCAAGATGATCAAAGGTTCGATTGAGCCGGGCAGCTCAATTGTTTGAGCAGATTTGGCCCCTTGACGATCACTGTGCATGACTGGCAACTAATGCACCTAGTAACAAGAAGCTACTAGTAGCTCCTGGCATACTCCTAGGAGCAAGAAGCTACTAGTAACAAAGGGCATCGCTACTAGTAACAAGAAGCTACTAGTAGTAACAAGAAGCTACTAGGAACAAGTGCATCGCTTCTAG